TACTGAAAAGGATGTGAAAATTCACATAAATAAAGCCTGGACCATCTTGAATAAAACAGATGTAATCTGGAAATCTGATCTACCAGACAACCTCAAGTGGAGATTATTTTGAGCCACTGTAGAGATGGTATTCATGTATGGTGCCACTGCCCGGATATGAACCAAAACCCTACAGTCTAAACTTGATAGAATCTACTCTCAGATGCTGAGCACTATACTTAACATCTCTTGCAGACAACATCCAACTAAATCACAGCTCTATAGACCCATTTTGATATTTCTACAATCTTGTATGAAAGCAGAATGTGCTTTGCAGGACAGTGCTGGCGAGCAAAACATGAACTCATGAGTGATCTACTGTTTTTGATACTTAGCCATGAAGCAAGGAGAGTTAGTTGCCCAGCAACCACCCACATTGAATGACTCCTTAATGACCTTCTAAACTTGATGGAGGTCCATGATGATTGGCATGATAGACTCATGAACGTCCAAACTAATTCTCAATAAACAGCATCTTAAATCCATGAAGTTCAGTACCATTTCATAGATTACATACACTGATGTGCCAAAAGTCATGGAATGGTAGTATGCAAAGGTAATGGTTGTTAGCACCATGATGACTTGATGTCATAGAAATTCTCAGACCTGTATCAGTTGTGCTCAGACATCTGGTGAGTCAGTGTGAACATTTGTGGCTATTCATGACAATGTCACATGAATTATAGAAATTCAAACTGGGCATGACAATGAGTGCCAAATGAATGGGACATTCCAGTTTTGAAATTGTGGGGATATTTTACAGTGTCAAAAGTGTACTGAGAATACATGATGAAAGGCATTACTGCCCACCATGAACAGCACAGTGGTTGACCACAAGTTTTTAATGATCCTGAATAGAAACATCTGGTTAGAATTAGTTATAGTAACAGACAAATAATTTGGATTCAGATCACATCTGCATTTACTGCTGGAGTTGAATACCAAATGCATATCCAGCAGGTCAGTTCAGCATTCATTACTGTTTATGGGATGTGGAAGCAGAAGACCCACCAAGGTGGCCCTGTTAGTGCCATAAAACTGGGCATGGCACCTCACATAGGCTTGTAACATTGCTAATTTGATTCTTAAAAACTGTCAACATGTGGCAAGTTCTGATGAGTCATGGCTTCAGTTGGCACAGTTTTAGTGTAGTGTAGATTTCATGCATTTATGAAAGCCAGTTGTCAACAAAACTTTACAAAGGCTTATTGTTTTTCCGTAATAGTGTGGAGTATGTTCATGTGGTATGGTTTGGGTCTACCAGCTTGTTATTAACTTCTGATTGCTATGTTTCACTGCTTTATGACCAATTACATTCCATTCATGAATTCTATGCACCTTAACAATGATGCTTTATTCCACCAGGGTAATGGATCTTGTTTATCATGCCTAAGTTGACCAGAATTGGTATGAACTGTTGGAACTGCTAGATAAGCTTGATTTATTTGGGAAGCTTATTAGAATAATCCATAATTTATATTGGGAGTAAACTACCTACATATGTATAGAAAATGAATCCAGTAAATACTAAAAAATAAAAATGTGCAAATAACAATGATGTGCCTTCTCACTGAATTTATTCAACTTGTGCATTGAAGAAATCCTGAGAGATTTAGAAGTTGTACCAGAATTCATTATTAATGGGCACAATCTTAGCAACATTACATATGCAGGTGACAGTGTTGATTGCAAACAAAGAAAGGAAAATATGAGAACTCCTAGTAAATGGGGGCAAGAAGAAAGGATGAAGCATCAATTGTAAGAACGGGGAATATATTGTTGTCAGCAAATGGAATATCCCAACATACAAAGTACAAATTGGAGATACCAAAATCAACCAAGCAAATTTAAATATCTAGGAAGTGTTTTAACAGTGGATGGATAATGTGATATTGAAATCCAAAGGCATATTGGGATAGTGATAGATGCCTTCCAAAAGCTAAGACAATTATTAAGAACCAAGAAAATTTCATTAGAAAAAAAAGAATGCTGAACTGCTATGTAATATCAGTCCTCCTATATATGTGAATACTGGAAAAGCTCTTCAAAAATGAACAAGAGACTTGAGGCAACAGAAATATGGTTCTACAGAAGGATGCTGAGGATACCAAAGAATGAACATGTGAGCAACAATGAGGTTTTAGAGAAAATGGAAACAAAATGGAAACTTATACTTAACATCAGGAAGAGGCAGGTGAAATTTCTGGGGCACATAATGAGGAAGGAAGGCTTGGAAAATCTGATACTCACAGGACAGATTGAGGAAAAGAGGAAGAAAAGAAAACAATGTGTAACATACTTGATTGGCTTCAGTAAATGCATGGTAAAACAGGGCTTGGGTGGAAAACAAACAAAATTTATTAAGTGCTACAAGAGACAGGAAGATATGAAGGGACATGATTGCCTACATCCTGAAGGAACAGTGTTGTGTCATAAATAGGAGTGGTTGACACACATATAGAAAATAAGAAGAAGTTTATTCCGGAGAATAATATGGTACATGGTTGAGAACACAGACTAATGTAATAATAACTGTTAACTCCTCTCCCTTAGTAAGAAAGAGTGCTGCTTAAATAGTCTTAGACTAGTTTATCTTGTGGGGGTGTTCAGCTACTCCATAACAGACACAGAACAAAAAGATGGAGTAATTAGAGAAAGAATTAAAAAAAGTAATTTTCTGAAAGAAATTTAACATTCATTTCATCAAATAACATTTTCAAATGCTTTCTTCAAGGTTTCATCCTATCTATTTGTCTGTTTCCAGCTCTTTTCCTGTTGCTAACTCCCAAAACTGAATTAACTCTTTAGTATTCAACATGCTTTAAACCCACCCCATAAATATTGGTTTTCAAAGTCTTACTGTTTGTGTGACTTCCTGTATTATTTGAAATGATGTTGTCATATTATATGACAGAGTATAGATGTGGTGGATTATGGTGGTTTGAACAATGAGAGTTAATATTTATGGGGAGGGGATGAATACTAAAGGGTTAAAGTAGAAGTATTTGTCAGAGTAGCGATAATACCACCTCAATGGATAACACTACCCTTGTTGATTCTACTTAATTTATTTGAGGCCAATTCAATTTCAAAGATAAGATCATGAAGTATAACAAAAAAAATTGTATGTTTTTAATTGACTGATTTGTTTTATACAGCTTACCAACCTTTTAAAGGTTATTTAAAGCCAGAAATTTTGTTTAGATTGTAAGAATTTTTTTGTTAACATAATAGTGATTTAATGATATAAGTCTTACTAATTAACCCACAGCTAGAGAGTAAAGAGTTGTTTTCATACCTAATGAGAATTTGATAAACAACAAATTATAATGTGGATATAAAGTGGGGGATCAATTATGTATAACAATCAATATACAAATTGGTCCCTCAGTTTTTGGTAGTTTTTATACAGTGGCCTAAGAAAAGTTTTTAGCCAGGAGAAATAAACTACATCCAATTTCAAAATTTAATTACGTAATCCCTATTCAACATAAAGAAACAGTATTTGGAACTAGTATAGAATAGGTCCTCCATTTGCTAGTTTCAATGCTTGTATTCGATTTTTCATGGATTTGATCAAATTATCAACAATCGTCTGAGCCATATTTTGCCACTCCTTTAGCAATGTTTCTTTAAGGGTTGCCACTGATGTGATTTTGGTTGCACATTCTTGAAGTCTTTGGTCAAGGTGCTCCCAAACATACTCTATTGGATTCATATCAGGATTTTGGACTACTCATGGCCGTGACTTGATTCCTTGTGATTCCTTCCAGCCCTTTGGTACTTTTCCTGTATGACATGCTGCTCCATCTTTTTGAAAAAGGTAGACATTCTTGTCAATCTGATTGGTTTCAAATAGTGATCCTTTCTCTAATATTTGACAATATTTTGGACCATTCAACTGCTCATCAACAAAAATCAGCTCAGATTTCCCTCCAAACTATACAGCACCCTACACCATTACTCCAATTCCTCCATGTTTCATGGTCACCTGCAGACATTCAGTGTTCCAGGTCTCATTCTGATTTCTCCAAATATAAACCAATTTTGAATTAGAGTATTGGCAGAATTTACTTTCATCTGACTAAATTATAGACTGCCAAAATCCATAATCTTTGCTCTCAAATTCTCTCGCCCAGTCCATACGCCTGTTCCTGTTAACCTCTGAAATCAAGGGCTTCTTTCTTGCAACTCTTCTTTGATAGCCTAGCTCTTTCAGAGTCTTTCTCGCCACATATGGTGACATTTCTATGCTGTTGGTGACATCTTTGACACTCTGACAATGGTTTCCAATGACATCCCTATTCAGTACCCTTTTTGTTCACTCAGACATGATGCTTGGTCTTCCTGAATGTTGTTCCACACAACAATGACCTTTTTCATTAACTTTCTTGATGATATTAACTGTTTAATGATTAACCTGGAATAACCTAGCAATTTCTCTATTTGACTTGCCACACGGATGCCATCCTATTATTTGCCCTTGTTGAAATTCACTCATTTCCTTACTTCCACAAATTTTCATTGCAAGTTAACTATTGTCTGAAAAAAAAAGAAGAGATGTTATTAAACAAGCTAAAATTGCTGTAATCAAGGGTGACTAAAAACTTACAATTACATTCCAAAAAATGTAAATAATTCTAAAAGACATGCCCATGTAGCTAATCAGTATTTGATTCATTCATTCATTCATTTTCTATAGCTTATCAACCTTTTGCAGATTATTTAAAACCATAAAATATTTTTAGATTGCAAAAATTCTTTTTTTGACATAATAATGATTTAATGAGGCAAGTCTTACTAATTAACCCATAGCTAGAGGAGAATAGAGGGATTCATACCTTTCTCCAAGGGTATTTGTGTGTAAGTGAATATAATGAATCTGATTGGAACTAGAACTGGAACTTGGCTCCAATTTACAATTCTGAGCCTTTATGCATTATATCACTCACACATCCAAGCTTACAGCACTTGCTATTCCCAAGCAGTCACCCATCTAGGTACTGTTCAGACCCAACATTGCTTAACTTTGGTGATCATATGGGGAACTATTGTTTCAACATGATATGGTCCATGGCCAGACTAGTGTAGAATTGAAAAGTAAAATTGATAAGTAAAACCACAGAATGGACTGCTGTCCTGTCAGTCAGGAAATGTTATCATCGATGTTCATTTCATGTCCAGATAATCAAAGTCTGGAAAATCAAGGTACAGATAGGATAATCAACTAAGTACTGTACCAGACTTTATATTCAACTTAAGCTATCTCTAGGCCAATGTTTACCTACACACTGTAGAATATCAGTACTTATTTAACCTGATTACATCACATTGTAATTTATGCAATGAAAACAAACATAATAAAAAGGAACAAGAAGAAAACTACAATAGCCATTGGCAATATAAAAGGAGAACTTATAAAAGAATGAGGAAACCATCCTCACTTGTCAGAACTCAGCCAAGGAAATTAAAATATTGTGCACACCAGCTAAAAATGGAAACATGAGGAAAGAAAAGTCACATATACTACAAGCAAAAACTTTGGGAACACTCTGCTTTTCTCTAAAAAATCACCTGAAAATGAGATATTTTTATATTTTCTTAAAGTAAAAGATAAAATTTTAGTAACTACAATGTAATTGCTTTTATTTTTCAGACTTATTCCAGGTTCCTCTTACTCTCAAAATGTTCAAATTTGAATTTGTCTGTCCACAATACATTTTTACTAAATTATAAATTTTTTGTATAAGAAACATATATTGTTTTCACCATTTATTCCACAGTAGACTTTTTGAGATTACCAGTTAAATGTTAAAAATTCTAAATGTTAACTCAGCACTGACTAATGTTGTAAACAAAACATATGGAGCAGTTTCTAAAGAAAAAATAAGAGTATGTCTTTTATGACAGTACTAGCAGTATGGCCAGGCATTGCCCGTGCTTGATTCAAAAATCGTACGACTCATATAGCAATCGCTATCACTTGACTTAAAAAAATTTTACCCTTCCTTGCCTTTAAAGGAGTGCCCTTTGCCATGTTCATGTTACTACATGCCTTACTTCTTGCCTATCTCACACTCCAAATTTTTTCTAATCTCTATACTAAACATTAAATCTGTTACTAAAAAAGAACTAAACAAAATGAACACAAAACGATCAGCTTTAAAAAAGGACTCATAACTAGAAAAAAGAATGTTAACAACAAATATTTTTTCACACCCAACCCAGTTCTGCGGAATCAGAATCAACATTGAGTTTAAGCAAGCGAATGAGCCAATTGGATTAAAGTGCCATGCAGATTTAAATTTTTCCCACTTGTGACGAATGCAGTTATCGAATTTTTTGCATGCTAGCATGCTAGTTAACATTCGTGTTAGTCAGCTGTTGGCTCTCATTCTGGCCAATAGAATCTTCCTGCCTATTCATGGCAGCCAGCTATAGGCTCTCACTCTGGCCAGTAGAAAATGGCTGCAAACTACATGAAAACTGCCGTAGAAGCATGAAAAAATCGATTATTTCCACTATCGATGGGAGTTGGGAAATGCAAAGTCAGTCTTGGCCTTTCCACTAACTTGGAGCATGTGCATATAAATTTTGGTGCAAATCCGTCGAAAATTGCAGCCGTGCATTCATTACACACACACACACACACACACACACACATCCTGCCTTTTATAGATAGAGATAATCATAGTGTTTTTAAATTAATTTTTTAATTTTGAAATAATTTGTGCAAAATGGTATTAAGTGCTTCTATTTTTTGTCAAAATAAAAGCAAATATAATGTAGTTACTGAGATGTTAACTTTTACTTTAAAATATACAGAAATATCTCATTTTAAGGTGTTTTTTAAAGAGATGCAGGGTGACCTCAAACATTTTGTCTGTGGTTTATATCAATAATATATTGACATAGATATAACTATTGACAGATCATACTAAGTCTTAATAGCCAATCATTTTGTTTGCATAAGGAAGGTTGATATGATTTAATATAATCCTATTCTGTAGTTCCAGTCTAAGAAATCAGGTGAACCATCTGATTCTTCTAACTATCCACCTATTAGTCTTCCACCTCTTTTTGGCAAAGTACTAGAGTCTGTAATTATTTCTGCATTGGTTAAGCATCTTACATCATAGGGTCTTCTTTCAGATAAACAATACAGATTTTGCTTCTTTTGGTCAACTGCTGATGTGTTAACGCTGAAAGAGTATCAGCTTTAGATAGAAATGGTGAAGCTAGGACTGTTGCTTTGAATATATCAAAGATATTTGACAGGGTTTGGCATACTAGTCTTCTTCACAAGTAGAAAGTTTATAGTATTTCTGTATGGATTTTTGAACTGATTCTTTTTTATCAAATCATGAAATGAAAGTTGTTTTGAGTGGCCAATCTTGTAGCTCTTTTTGCATAAATGCTGGTGTTTCCCAGGATTCTATCCTTGGACCTACGTTGTTTCTAATATTCATAACTGACCTTCTTGATATCATAAGTTTTCAACTCAGTATCTACACTGATGACACAACTATTTATGCCTGTCTTAATAGTAAGTCTGATTGATTCGATTAAGTCAAATTGGCAGTCAACCTAAAAAAATGACCTACAATCTGTTGCTTACTAAGGCAAAGAATAGTTTGTTAATTTTAACAACTCCAAAAACTGTTCTCTTAATCATCTGAGAGAACACTTTTTACCTTTCATCAGCATGGCTAATGCTAAACTCCAGGAGAATAAGTCATTGGATCTTTATGGAATAACGTTTTCAGCTGATATGCAAGGGAAAGAATATAGTGAATCAATTGCTAAGTCTACAGTTAAGAAAGTTATTTCACTATGTTGTGCTAGACAGTTTTTCTTTTCAGAATCTATTTTACATATTATAAGTCTACCATTCATACTTGCTTTGAATATTGATGCCACATCTGGTCTGGTGCTCCTACTATATATTTAGAGATGCTTGACAAAATCCAAAGAAGAATCTGAAATTTTATTGGTCCTGACCTGGCATCTCAGCTTCACTCCTTTTCCCAATGCCATAATGTAGCTTCCCTATGCCTTTTCTATAAATACTTTCAATAATTGTTCTGATGATCTTTCCTCTATGCTAGCTAGACTTTATAAATTTAATTGCAGTACTAGATTGGCAGTAAGGTCTCATCATTTTACAGTTGAATTGTCTAGATGTAAATGCAAGTCCTATGCTAACAATTTCTTCTATTGCACTTTTTACTTGTGGAACTCACTTCTGGTTTCTTGATTCACAGATAAATTTGATCTTTATTGCCTTTGATCTTCAAAAATTTAAATGCAATGTCAATCGTTTTCTTCTATCTTTGTAATTCTTATTCTTTTATTGTCCTCTCTTCTTAATTTTAGTTTTTCTCATATTTTCTAACACTCAGTAACATCTTATATTCTAGTGGCTTTATTGCTTTGCTTGGGTGAACTGATTTTAAAAAAAATGATAGGCATAATGTGACCCACTCAAAACTGAGAACATATTCTCATGGAAGGATGATACACATTCCCAGTTTTAAGTAAGGTGTTCTGAGATTACTGACATGGATGTAATGGAGCACTTATGCAAATTTTCAAGTCAACTTTTTTCATACATGCTGGGACATGTATATTCCTCTCTTGTATTTCATTGGTCCTACCGACGTAGTCAGCTTCCCAGTAACTCTTGGTAAATTACAGAAATTATTTGGAAGATAGGTCATCTTTATGAACTAGCATTAGTCCTGAAGAGAACATAATGTGTGAATTGGCAAAAACATCAATGTTGTAACACAATAATAAGATCATATTTTGTAATATTAACTTTCAATAAGGATTGGAAGTCTGACATATAACCAAATACAGTAAAATTCTGTTTTATAAAATGTTTGATGTGTATTATTTGTTCCTGGAAGAAACAATAAAACAAAAATAATGCTATACTTTAAGACATTTTCTTTTCTGAAGATTATAAGCGAAACACAACATATTAATAATATTCTTGCAGTACCCATGAAAATTTCACAGATTTTCTATTTTAATTTTCTAATGAATTATAATTCTTAAGTTAATGATTGAATAAGTTCCTTTCAAGTTCTATGATTATAAAATAGCCATGGAAATATTATAATATATAAATTAATATTAATATATAGACATTTGAGCTTACACTATTACAATAACAATCATAAATATGAATACAGGTCATTATTTAAAGAAGTAAGAGGGTACAAATGAAAAGATTTAAAATTGATAAACAGATGTTTAGCACATGAGTGTTATTGCCTTCTTTGTCTTTTCTTTCTTTATTTTCCCTAAAACTAAACAGCATCTTTGATATTTTTGTGGGCAGGGGACAAGCTATTACAGGTCTATCCTCACAATGAAACAGGAATGATCCATTATTTATCTGAGGTAATGGTAGAGTGTAACATACAGACAAAGAAACAAATAGAATTATAATAGGATAATCTTGTTTGAAACTTATCAGAATCTATTCATTGTATAATGAATGTTGGGTCTGTGAAATAAACTTATTTATAGTGTAGCACAAGGGTATACTTTTCAGTGCAAGGGCCACATTAAAAAATTCACAATTTTATTGAGCCACATTGTATATTAACCCAAAATAATTAATATTTAAAATAGACAAAAAAAAGGCTTTTAAAGAAAAAAATGCAATTAATTTTTATTAATTGATATTTTAAAGTATTGTAGGATATTCACATGAAACACATTTATTTGAAAGACAAAGTAACTCAGTTTAAAGTACTTTAAAGAAAAAATATTAATAAGTATTTTTAAGTTAAAGATTTACATGAAATACATTTAAAAGACAAAATAACCTTGTTTTAAGAAAAAAATATTTTTATTAATTAATATTATAAAGTAGAAAACATATTTATTTGAAAAAACAAATTAACTCTGCATAAAGAAACAAAAAACAATTTTTACTAATATTTTAAAGTAGAAACTTCAAATAAAACATATATAAAGTAACTAAGAAAAAATAATTTAGATTTCAAAGTAGAAACTTCACATGAAACAGATTTGTTTGAAAACAAAGTAATTCAGT